TCATGTGTTCCAACCATAAAGATAATTAAGTACAGGGACCAGCAGTGAATGTAATGGCTATGTCGCTGGACTCCCATGTAGTCGACCGTGGTTCGAGTCCTGGTCCCGGTGGCTTAAACTCATGCCGGGCGCATGTGCATGTGTGCCCAAGATCCTGAGAGGAGAATGGAGGAGAAGGGATTGCGGTGTGGCCATCCACCCTGGGGGGTGATTTCTCGCTTTCTGTCTCTCTGTCTCTCTCTGTCTGTCTGGCGAGCGCACGTGCCCTATAGCAAAAAAAAACTCTCAAAAAAAAAAAAAAGAAGAAAAAAAAAGATAATTAAGTACAGTCTAGGAGAAGTCAAAAAGACTACTTACCCCTTCAAAGAGAACAGCAGAGAGAGCTAGATAGACCATGTTTTATATTCTGACTTTTCTATGCCTAGGGTGAATAAATAGTCCTGGAGTCGATATACCAAATGATTAAAATGAGCATGTCTTGAACAGTAGTCCTCTCCGCAGGAATGTTTATTAAAAACTTAAGTGTTAAGTGGTTTACAGTGATGTCACAGATAACCTACTTCTGAGTTCCTACGTGATCTCTCATTTTGTATTTATTTTAAAACTGAATTTTGAATTTTAATACTGTATCATGTTTCTTCTCCAGATGTTTCCTCTGAAATATAATTAGGTATAAATTCCTGTAACCTGAGCATATTCTCATTATGATTTTTGCTCGAATCCTGACTTCATGGATGATTTATGACTATTATACTCTATAATAAGTGATTTAAAACTTCTAAAAGATTTGGCAGGGTGTATAGATAATCTATACATATTTTTTGTATTGAGTCACAAATACTTACAATGTGTTTTTTCTATTTCACATTCAGAGAGTTTGACTGTTGTCCCAACAGGATGGAGTAGGAAGGACTCTAGTATGACCATCCCCCATTGGGGGGCGCTTTTTCCCTCTCTCTTTCTGATTCTTTCTGAAGAGCACATTCATCCGCTTCTCACTGAAAAAAAAATGCATATCAGAAAAAAGCGGGTGCTGTTCTCTCTCTTTTTGGTTAGAAAGTTTTCAATGTATGTACACATACATACATTTGATTGTAACTGGTTTTGTGGTTTAACTTCAGATGCAAACATGGACCAAGGCATAGATGTTGTAAACACTATGAAGATAACTGCATCGCTTACTGCATAAAAGTAAGTATGAAATTATCTACTTTCTTAACAATGGGGAATGCGTATAGAAACAACTTATTTATGAAGAAATCATTTCAAAAGGTCAACATTGATAATTGCTGTCATCCTTTGCATTTGACTGAAGACATTTGTGAGAAAAGATAAGCGTTCAGGTTTTAATATTCATTTGCTAGGAACTTAGATAAATTTTAAATGAACTTGTTTAGTTTACTTAAAACTTACAAGGTAGGAAAGAATACAAAAAAGAAAGATGTCATTAATCTTTCTACTTTGTAAGGTGCCCCCGTTAAGGCCCTAGGACTGTGCTGTGTCTGCGTCAGCACTCTCACGCTTGTGCGTGTCATGCACAGTCTGGTACAGTGGCATTTGCTTTGGGACTTGTAAAGCTGTTACATTTATTTTTAAGGCACCCAGGTAACTGGAGTATGTCCATAGTTATTCTGCATTAAGTTAGCTATGCCCAGTGGCGTGATTTCCCCGCTCCCTAATACGTTTACATTTTCTCCCCCGCAAGCCCTGATCCTCCTGCATGCCCCCTCCCCCCGATTCCCCTTTATCACCACCAGCTCCAGAGAAAAAGCTCTTTTCATTGCAGTCAGTATGGCACAGGTGGCATCATCTCCTGCAAAGTTCCTTCATTTTGTATGGTATTCTAACATTTCTGTTGCTTTTAAAAGTTTATGTTCGTTCTTGTAAGATCTAATCCCTGCTCAGTCAATGACAAGAGCAGTGTTGTCCAACAGCCTAAAAGACAGCATCCTTACTGTCCCTCTAGAAGGGAAGACCCATCCCACATTAGTACTAATGAGTGTGATTGCCTCTGACCCCATGTTGACAGCAGCATTTCTCCTAGCTCAGACTCACCTTCAGAATCCCCAAAGACATGATCCAGGGTAAGAGCAGTAGAATATTTTTTCCAATTGTTCAGTGACTTCTTTTATACACTTTCTGATTTGATTTTCTGCTGTACTTCTAAATTGGTAAAAAATTTTAAAAAACAACATTGCTGGTGTTCTCAAACTCTGCAGGCTCCTGAAAAGTTGTTATTCCTTTCAACTGAATATGATCGTAGTTCAAAGGGAGACTTTTGGAGGGAATCTAAGAGACATATTCTGATTAAATTTGAGGCATTTGAGAAATTGAATCAGAGGTATTTGAGAAATTTGAGATAGAGAAAGATGAAGTTTAAAAAAAGTTAGTCATGGGACCAGCAGTTAGTTTAATGGCTATGTCGCTGGACTTCCACGTAGTTGACTGCAGTTCTAATCCCGGACCTGGCGGCTTAAACTCGCATGGGGCGCGTGCGCATGTGTGCCCAAGATCCCCAGAGGAGAAAGGAGGAGAAGGGATTGCTGCGTGGCCATCCCCCCTGGGTTGTGATTTCTCGCTTTCTGTCTCTGGCAAGCACACATGCCCTATAGCAAAAACCTGTCCAAAAAAAAGAAAAAAGAAGTTAGTTATATGAGAAAGTGAGAATTATCAAACAAAGAAAACAATCTAGTGATTCTTTTGAACATGTGTAAGTACTATAAACTTGGTAATTTGCAATATTAGTTCATGAATGTAAAACTGTTTGGATACCCATGGATGCAAACTTTGCATTCCAAATTTAGTAAAGTTTTTGATAGTATACCTTATTATTCTGGGGACTTATTATACCACATGTTAAATCATATCCCTGAATAAATATTCATAATTATATTCCCTTCAACTTGCTACACACCACTCACACTAACTTTTTGTCTGCGAAACTCTATTAGTTTTGTGCTTTCTATGCAAACTGAAATGTTTGTCTAATGCTAGTTCCTTCTTTTGGGGGTCTATTTAAATGTCATATTTTCAATATCCTCCTCTAACCACTCTAATATAGACTGCCTTTCATTCCTATCCGAATGCCCTGATTATTTCCTTCATAACATTATAATCTATAATTATTTTAGGTTTATTTGTTTACTTCTTTTCCTCTACTGAGCATGAAGGCAAGAACTTTGTGTGCTTTTTGGCGCAGTATCCCCAGCATCTCGTGTAATGCTTGTCACATTAATAGGCATTTAGCAAATATTTCCTGAATACACAAGAGGGTGGGTGAATGGATCTCTTGAAAATAGCATGAAAAGATTGTAACATATTTGTGATCGTGAATCATTAGGTTAATGTTATAAAATTATCCATGGCAAGATAAAAGTGTGCCCATTCATGCATTAAACAAATACTATTCAGTTTCAGTTAAGCCAGTTGCATAGCTGACAGTAATTGATTGGACAATTTAGTTTCCATATATTAACCAGATTCTAAGCAGTTTAAGGTAAATCAACCAATGTTTGCTCATAGTAGCTCAGTATTTTCTAGAAAAGAAAGATGTGATCTGGAAAATACAGACTTGACCTTTAGAACTTAGTCATTTCTATTCCAGTGGGGGCAGGAGAGGAGTAGGAGGATGGGAGAGTAGTATTACAGTGTAGTGACTGAATGGTGTATAAAATACTATTCTTTTCATTAACCTTTGTGCTAATTGAAATTTCAGTCCCTTGATATTAAGTGACACCTAAACTAGATTTCTATAAACACTGAAATGAATTCCCCAGGGAATACACAGAAATGTGGCAACAAATGGATTTATAGCAGATTTGCTTTTTCAAGTTTAAAGTTAGATACTTTAACCTTACACAGTTGAGTACAGGAATAAAAATCTAGGTATAAATTTTTGTCTGGAATATTCTTTTAACCTGATCATTTAAAATGTTAGTACCAAAGGTCTAAACAAATAATGAAATTATTTTCCTATCAAAAGAATCCCTACTTGTACTAATAACTAAAACATTTTTCCTGAAAAGCCTTTGGTTTTGTTAACTATTTTTTTGGAATTTCAGTGCTTTTGTTTCTAAAACTCATTTGTGGTTTAGGAATTAAAAATCCTGATTATTGTCAACAAAGTGTCAAGAAATGGAATTTTGGTGCATAGGCAAGCTTGACCAATGCTTGTGAGACTTTAAGTCTTTATAAATCAAAGCAAGTATATTCACTCCAAGATTTCACCCTTATTTTTAAGGTAATTGTTTTAAAATTATTGTTTGAGGTTTTAAGACTTTATTTTGAAAACTGCTGTGATATAAACTTGTGTTAAATTTGTTTGAGTTTTGATTCTGAGATGTTAAAATTCATATTCTATCAGATTTTCTATCAATTTTCTCCCAACTTTCTCTAGGGTTTTATCAGAATGTTTAGTGTGGGATATTTGATCCAGTGCTGCCTCCGAATCCCCTCCGCATTTAGGCATCTGTTTACACAGCCATCTCGGCTAATTTCTCTCTTCTACAATAAAGAAAACTTCCAGCTCGGAGCTTTTCTTGGCTCTTTTGTTAGCATATACAAGGTAAGATTTTCATAAGAAGAAAGAAAAATGGAAAATAAATAACATGGCTATTATTAGAATGAGAAATGGCCTTAATTCATCTTTTTTTTTAACGCTTCTTTTTGGAGTATTCATAAATATCTCAACATCACTCAATATAGACAGGAATACTGGGAGGTAAGGTTGGAGAAATTTAAAAAATATTTTAAAATGTTACTTAATATGCACATTTAATATTAAATGTTCTCAAAGACTAACTTCTTTTTTAATATATAGATACTCAGAAAATAGAATTTTCCGATATTTCATTGTCAAAAGTGACAAATATTTTCTGTTATGCTCATATAAGCAATACTTTATTTTCCCTCTTCTCTCCCTCAGTATTCCTACTACAGTTTCCAAGGTAACATTTTTATACATATGCGTGTATACACACACACAGTACAAACACATACACAGACACATATATATCCACATACACATATGTACCTTTTATCATTGTTATACTCAAAATTACTGCTGGGAAAATTAGATGATAAAATAGTCATGCATCATTTTATAAAAAAGTTTACTCATAAAAAGTAGAAATGGAGAATATGCAAGAATTAAGTATAGATTACTGGTAATGAAATGTTTATATTCACATTCTTTTTAAGTTCTTACGTTGTAGTATTTAAACGTAAGTTTATCCCTTTATGAGAGTGAGGGAAGAGTACAGATAAGCACCCCTGACAGCTCATACCAACTTTTCTATCCAGTCTGACCATCATTTTTAATTGTTTAGACTGTTTACAATTAATGTACTTACAATATGGTTGAATTTAAAATCTGCCTTGTTGCTAGTTTTGTATTTCCTCTATTTTTTTCTTAATCCCTTTTTTCCACTGCTGGATAGATTATATTTTTTCTGTGGCTCCATTCATTCTTCACTATTGGCTTATTATTTGTATTTTTTTTTAATTTCATGGTTGCCTTAACAGTTATATATTTTAAATTTCTTAGCCAATCTTAATAATGTCACTTCACATCTAGTGTAAGAACACACAGCTTTACCTCTAACTCCTCCTTCCCATTCTTTGTACTCTTATTAGACCTTATGAACTCCACAGAACAGCGTTAGTAGTTTTGCTTTAGACCAGGGGTCACCAAACTTTTTCTGTTAAGGGCGAAATAATAAATATCTTAGGCTTTGTGACTATGTTGTCCCTGTCACAACTACTCAGCTCCGCTGTTATGGTATGAAAGTAGCCATAGACAACAAATAAATGAATAAGCATGACTGTATTCCAATAAAACTATATCCTACTGTAACTGGAATTTCATATAATTTCCCCATGTCACCAATATTATTATTTGTACTTATTTTGTATCCATTTAAAATTGTAAAAACCACTACTGCTCCTGAGCTATATAAACACAGGTGTTAGACCTGATGCGGCTAGTAGCTCCAGTGCACTGTCCTATGCTTTAGACAGTTAATTCACTTTCAGAGCAATTTAAGAAGAAAATGCACATATTTCTAGAGCTCTTGATTTGGTTGTATAGATTAAATTTTTTTCTGGTATCATATACTTGAAGAACTACCTTTAGTATTTCTATTCTCAGATTTACTGCTTCTAAATTATCTCTACTTGTATCTGTTTGGGAAAAGTATCTATTTCACTTTCAATATTAGAAAATATTTTCTCTGGATATAGAATACTGACTTAACAGATTTATAGTTTAACTGCTCTTCTTTGTAGAATGAGTGACACTTTCCTAGTATTTGAGGAATGCAATAAAAAAATAAAGAGCAATTTATGGATTTGTTTAGAAAAATCAGTACAATAAAGTATTCTGTAGAATTCTTCAATAATGTTTATCCAGAGCAGTAACTATATTACAGATTATTGTTCATAATTTCCCCAATTTTATCTTCTGTTTGATTTAGATAAGGTCACTAATTTGCCTCCAGGGACATCTAATCAGTCACTCATTACAGTTAAAAACAACTATTTTCTTTTTTTTTTTTTTCATAGAAATGGAATAACTGAAGGCATTGTATTTTCTTAAAACAGGGTACTAGTTGCTTCCTGCGCTGGGTCAGAAACCTGGATGATGAACTTCATGCTATTATAGCTGGTAATGATGACTATTGTATCACCCAGTGTTAGGGATGAACCAGAAGGAGCTTCCAAACTCATCTAGTTCCTATGAATCTTCCTTTCTCTCCTAGAGTAAAAAGTAAAATCCCTATTGAGGCATTTGTCCAAATATTTGTAAAATTGAACATATCAAAGCCCTCTTGCCATTTGGTATTTGAGTTGGCAATGTAAAGACTTGGGTATCTGCTCTGTTACAGGCCGGATATTCAAGAATGTGTCACAACAGATCATAACGACTTAAACTATATAAATGAGTAAGGGAAAGTCAAGCAGATTTCTTATAAAACTATTTTTTGCCACTGGAAAATAATGTTTTAATCATTTTAAAGGGAACTTAATCATTTTATAAAAATAAAATTGAAGGTCATTTTCTGTAAGTGCAAAAAAAGTGTGCTGCTTAAGATGACTACATGGGTTATCAGGTATTTATGAGCAGTAATCTTACTATTAATAGTTCACCCTCTCCCTTGGTTTTCCATTTGTAGAGTGAAGGCACTGCTATTGAAAGAAGTGTGATGATAATAGCAAAAAATAATAGAACTACTAGGAGAATAGATAAATATTCCACTGAAAAAAAATTTTTAGAAGGCAGTTATCATTTTTAAGTTTACTTTTTATGAGAGTAAACTAGAGAAAAAAAGCACCCTCAACAGGGTCTCACCCCACTACCTTGACCCTCCGGCCTCCTAGTTAGCCAGGGCCACCGGCAGGCATGCCCAGTGTGTACAGGTTAGCCAGGGAACCTCCCTGATCTTCCCTGTGGATCCAGCAGGTAGACTATTGCTACCATGCAACTCAGCTGGCCCAAAATTATTTTTCAAATTGTTCTATTTGTCAAGACCACTGCTATTTTTAAAGTTAACTTTGAATTGTTAAGTTTCTTTTTATACATGAATTATACCTGAATGTCCATTTTTTAAAATTTAAAATTATGTGACATTAAGAATTCACCTGATTTCAGTGTCATAAGGTGTTTTGCATTCTTGACCCTGTTATAACAAGAGACAGTGCTATAAATCAATTCTTTCTTGTTTAAGTGGATTAGCATTTCTGATGACTTAATAGCAAAGAAATACTTGGCAATCTGATCAGTTTTTTCTTATTTGTTGTTTCAGGATTTTTGGCAGGTATATCAATGATGTTTTATAAAAGCACAACTATTTCCATGTATTTAGCTTCCAAATTGGTGGAGGTAAGCAAACATTATTATATATGAATAGTTCCAAAAGATAGAAAGCTTATTTAGCCACTACTTCATGATTTTAGCAGCAAAAATATATCCCAATGATGAAAGCAAATTCTAATCCTAGGAAAGTGTTTATTAAGTCAATTGCTCTTTTTTTTTCTTTCCATATGTTTCTTATTTTCGATTATAAAAGTGTAGAAACAATAGTGTCTGTCATGCAGCTTCAATGTGACCAGCATTTGGCCAATAGACTCCCCAACCCCATGCGCTGAGTTACTTTGTAGTCAATTCCAGACATTTTATCATTTCATCCATAAAAGTTACAGGATAAAGACTCTTTAAAGAATAAAAGATAGAGGGACCAGCAGATGGTGTAGTAGCTATGTCGCTGGACTCCTATGTAGTTGACTGTGGTTTGAATCCTGGACTTGGTGGCTTAAACTCATGCTGGGCATGTGTGCGTGCGTGCATGCCCAAGATTCCGAGAAGAGAATGGAGGAGAAGGGATTGAGGTGTGGCATTCCTTCTGAGGGGTGATTTCTTGCTTTCTGTCTCTCTGTCTTTCTGGTGAGTATATGCACCCTATAGCAAAAACCTTTCCACACACAAAAGGAAGGAAGGAAGGAAGGGAGGGAGGGAGGAAGGGAGGGAATAAAAGGTAGAGGCTGTTTAAAAACAAATGAAACAAACAATTCAACAGGTACCACCAAAGTATAACTGCAATTCCATCATCATACATTAAGGTTAATTCCTTAATATTATCATAGGTCTAGTTAGAGTTTGCATCTTCTCTGATTATCTCATAAATGTCTTTTTCAGGGTACTCCCAGGCCTTGTTTCTTGGCTTTCCCAGTAAACAGAGCTAAAGAATCCTTTTTTTCCCCATTTTCTTTGTGAGGGAAGAGAAAATATATTTGGAATATAGCACTATTTTCAATTTAATGCTAGGATTACAGATTTTATTTTTACATGTTTTCCTTTTTTCCCCCCAGGTGTTTGCGCTAGGGCACATGTGTTTGATAGAAAGAGACAGAGATAGTGAGAGGAAAAGTGAGAAATCACCCCCAGGGGAATTGGCCACACTGCAGTCCCTTCTCCAGCCTCCTTCTGGGATTTTGGCCAAGCGTGCACATACACCTCTAAGTCTCCATTCCAGAACTTAAGCTGCAGATGGCCATGTTAGAATCCAGTACTTTAACTACTATTCCACCTGCTGGCCTCATTTTGTTCACTTTTTAAAAGTTTATTTTCTTGCAGAGTGAGAGAGAGAGAGGCACCTTACTTTGACAGGGTGGTCATGTTGCTGTTCTCCCCAAGTCCTACAGCCAGCCTGGATCATGGGAGCGTATCCATAGTCAGGTCCAAGAAAGACCCAGGATGGGGATCCAGTCTTCCCATGTGGCCTCCAGCATTCTGACCAGCTTTCCTACTGCCTGTACCAACACAGCTGGGGCCTTTTTAAAAACAATTTTTTAAAAAAGTTTTTGTACTTGGGCATTTGCAGTCACCAGAGAGAAGAAAAGAGAATTCACTTCCCCCCAACCCCCTTCCCCACCTCAGAGAGAATGGCCATGCTGCAGTCCTCCTTCATTCTCCTAATGGGATTTTGGACACACTTCCACATGTATCTGGCATAATTCTCAAGCTGCTTGGTCCTGGACTTGAACTGTGCCACTGGCCGTGTGAGATCCAGCCACCTTAACCTCCATGACACCTGCTGGCCCAAGGGACTTAGTCATTTTTAAGTCCCTTGTCCAGTACCCAACATACAGTTGACACCACTAAATGTTTACTGAATAATGAAGGAATGAATAGATCTAGCAGTGAAGAGAGGACCCTGAATACTGTGTAACAAGCACTGAAGAATAAATAACCTAAAAGCAGTCTAGTAAAGTGCTATTGAATTTCGTAGAAAAGCACTGCTGCTTACATTGAGGTTTGCAGCAAAGGAATAAAAGAAAGAGAAAGGCTGACACTTAATACTGTCATGGAAGATGTGACCTTTGATTTGAGCTCTAAAAGGAAATTAGGATTTGGAGAGGTAGAAAACAGTCATAGGTAGAGAACACGCTGCTCAAGCTTTGTATTACCGCTGTTTAAGTTTGTTTTCTTCTGACTCTGACATTCTGCTTGTTTTGCAGACAATGTATTTCAAAGGTATCGAAGCAGGGAAGGTTCCCTATTTTCCTCATGCAGATACGATCATCTATTCCATTTCTACAGCAATTTGCTTCCAGGCAGTAAGTATAGCTTTTTGAAATGCAAAATAGCCTGATTTCTGTTTCTAATGTACATTAAACCAATGGAGGAAAATTAAAAGCCTAGGAACATTTCCATTTATTACATTTTATGCTTCTTTTTTGTTTTGTTTTGTTTTTTTCAGCAAGATAGTTTGCAAGTTTCAAATCATTAAACATGCTACTTAATGGGCCAGGTCCTGTTTTATGAGCATACCAATTTTTAGGTTCCAATAGAGTACAATTTATAGATAAATTACTATGGCACTCCTTATGTAGAATGCCCCAGTTTAATGATACTTCTTAAAGAGAAAAAGATACCTGACATAAATATGAATAACTGCATTTTTCCAATATTATTTAGGGGACTAGGGGATAGGCGATGACTAGTTTAATAGAAGCATTGTCTCATCTCCTTAAATTCTGTAATCATTATTGATGTTAATGGTTTTAGGGCTACTGCAGAGTTTTTCTGAGAGCTTTGATTTGTTCTTTCTGACAGGAATGCTGCCAGGTTGATAAACTCATTAAAACAAGTGGAGTGCCACCTATCTAATGGGTGGTACACAGTGAATACTTTCGGATAACTATTCACTCAATTATTATTTCAGAAGCAGCATTTCTATTTAAGGACATATTAGAAAGACTCTAATATTAATAGCAATTGTTAAATACAATACATGTTTTTATTATTATTGTCACTATCCTTTTAACAATATGAGTAGCAAAGATTAAGATAAAATTACTCTGAACAATTTTAGGCTGTCATGGAAGTTCAGACCTTGCGACCATCTTACTGGAAGTTCCTATTAAGACTCACCAAGGGCAGGTAAGTGACCAAGATGGTTTAATTGCTATAGAAAAAAAGGAATTTTCTTAAGAATACAGATAGGCATTTTTTTTAAGAGGTTTTTACCTTAGGACAGTGCACTTGCCTAGGAGAGAGAAAGAGACAGTGAGAGAGAAAGTGAGAAATTACTCCCCAGAAGGGATGGCCATGATGCAATTCCTTCTCCTCCATTCTCCTCTTGTGAGTTTGGGCGTGCATGCACACTTACCGGCATGAGTTTCAAGCATGAGTCCAGGTCCAGGACTCAAACCACAGCCAGTCATGTGGAAGTCCAGTAATAAAACCACTACACCATCTGCTGCCCCCCAGGCATTCATTGTTTAACAATAGGGCCACAATCTGAGAAATGTGTAATTACACAACTTCATCATCCCATGAACATCATGGAGTGTACTTACACAGCTGGGTGGTACAGCCTGTCACTCATAGGTTACAAACCTGTTACTGTACTGAATGCTGTAGGCGAGTTTTTAATGTTGTAGAAAAGGTATAGGAAAAGCATGGTATGAAAGATAAACGGTACACCTGTGTAAGGTACTCATGAATAGAGCTTGCAGGACTGGCACTAGCTCTGGGTGTCACTGAATGAATGTGAAGCTTCAGGACATTACTGTATATTACTATAGACTTTATTACAGTTATACTCAGGCTATACTACATTTATAAAAAGGTTTTCTTCAATAATAAATTAACCGGGGACCAGCAGGTGGCGTGGTGGTGACGTGACCACTCCCTACTGGGGAAAACATTTTCCCCTCCCTCTGATGACCACATAGGCCTTCTGGCAATTAAAAAAAGGATATTAAGTAGATCTTCATTAAAGATAATCTCTCTAATTGATTTCTATTTTGGAAAAATTACCATATTCTTTTGCTTATGTTGTAAGTGTACTTTCCTCTTGCCTTTTCTGCCGTATTCTTTATTTTCCCTGAACCTAAACTAACTTGGGGGGAACCAATTTGACCCGATACAAAGAGCACAGGCTTTGGAGTCCAAAATAAGTTCGACTGCAGCTTTGGTACCGTCAGCTGTCACTGTGGAAAGTTATTTACCCTCGTGAGCCCATTGCTTCCTCTCTACCACGGAACAGTAATGACATGTTGTACAGCAGTGGAAGATTAGGGTATCCGCAGTAGCACTTAGTACTTAGCAGGCACGCACTAACCCACAGCTCCTAGTCATATTTGTACCAATAATAATAATAATAGCAAATGCTTGTATGGTGCTATGTCCCAGATACAGTTTTAAGATACACTATATAATATACATACATACATATGCTTTATCCTTAAAGTAGATCTGTGAGCTGGGTACTGTTGTCCCCATTTTACATACAGGAAACTGCGATACACAGGGGTTGGATAGCTTGCCAAAGCCACACAGCTAACAAATGAAGGAGCTGGGATAGAAGCTGGGGAGTCTCTCTTCAGAATTCTTTCTCTTAGCCATGATATTATACATTTTTTATATTATTGTTTAATCATAATTTTAATCATTTAGTTTTCTGCACATTTCTGCATTTCAGCAGTCAGCTATTTTACAAGGGAACTTACTTTGGAAAAAAACTAAAAGTCACATTTATTGGCTCTGGAAAAAATGATGCTGGCCAGTGATTCAGAACTAATTCATTTTGCTGTCTTCTCCATAAAGGAAGTCCTCGTGGACTGGCAGAGGGTCATCCTGCACATTTTCAAATGTCACCGCTCTTAGATTAGGTGACAGACAACCTGAGGAGGATGGGAGTCTACTCTGTTGAGTCTGTCAGAAATTTAAAAACCATTAATGCCATTTGCTTTTTAATCTTTAAATATTTATGCATTTACATATGTTTTCTTTTTATTATGATACTAAAATAGTAACGAGAAATATTACATTTAGCATCTTTGCCCCATTGGTAAATGTTGACATGTTCATTGTTTTTCTGTAATTTCATTCATCAGAAAAATAATAATGAACCCAGATGCAGACTAGTTGGAAAGAACTCTTCGAGGGTTTAAACTAATGATTATAATCTCAGTGGTTTCAGGTCTAGGGATTATCTTTTTAAATAAAAAAAGATTATTAATCTTGACATATCCATGTGATCCTATAATCTGCCATTAAGTTAGTTGCTGTTAAGTTTTGCCTTGCCAACGTTTGCTGTTTGTTTTTCATTTCATGAAAGATCAATCAAATGAATCACATTGGTTTTTTTTGGGGGGGGCAGATTTTCACTATAGGGCGCGTGCGCTCGCCAGACAGAGAGAGACATAGAGACAGAAAGCGGATCTTGGGCACGCACGCACATGTGCCCGGCGTGAGTTTTAAGCCACCGGGTCCGGGACGCAAACCGCGGTCAACTACGTGGGAGTCCAGCGACATAGCCATTACGCTAACTGCTGGTTCCCATGAATCACATTGTTTTATAAACTTCATTAAGTACTGTTCCCTGTGTTCCGTTTTGCAGATTTGCTGTCATGAACCGAAAAGTCCTTGATGTTTTTGGTACTGGTGCATCTAAACACTTTCAGGATTTCATCCCCCAGTTAGATCCAAGATACACAACTGTAAAACCAGAGTTGCCCACAGAGTTCTCTTGAAGATGACTGTCATTTATTAATGCAACTAAATGTTTCATCATTTTATCCAGAAGAGTTAATTACTTTGAACACAAAGAAGGGGGCTCAAGCTCGAACTTCAGTGTTACTTCAATGAAAGATGTTCTTTTTTTGTTTGTTTTTCTTACCAATCAGAAATACAGAAGCTTTTTAGGAAGGTGTTGCTTAATAATTAAGCTTCCTCCGTAGCCAGAATCTGATTCTGGATCACTGTAGTAGTTGACATTATGATATATCATGGATTAAATTATGTCCACAAGCAATATTAAATAATCTGTGTAGACATGTAGTAAGAAATAAGAGTACACTTAAAATTACTTTAAACAATGTCTTTAGTTCATTCCAATATAATTCTTGGTTGAAACTAAGAATATTTCTACACTTTAGGATTTACAAAGGATCACGGGTACATGGATTTGGTCTGTATTTTTTTTTTTTTTTAACTTTTGAAGTGATGTGTGTAGTAGTGAAGTGCTATAGATTTGAGGTAACTCTCCACAGACAATGCTGCTTTAGTATAGAGCAATTTAATTGGGGAAAGTGGCCATTCATATTTCAGGGATGCAAAGGTGGGTCTCATACCATTTGGATAAAGGTCGTGGTATCCATGCTCTTTTTTTTCTACTGATAACATCATCTCTTTCCATGACCAGCTGGGCTCTGACAGCCCAGTGAATCTGTGTACTAATGGCAGGTTAGGGCAAATGGAAATGTATACATCTGACAATAGTCGAACTGTACATTTTAATTGTTCACTGAAGCATTACACTTGAATATTTAAAAACAAATATTTAAAAACAAAACTTTTAACCTCATGTAGGTTTATTGTGTTTGTTTGCATTTATAAAGACATAATTCCTCAAAGCTCGGTTTGTATGCTGTTATTATAGAAGGGATCAAAATCCTATAGAACAAAAGTTATTTTTGCAAGTTGGACAGCTTATGCCCTCCCAACTGTGTCACCTATGTAATGGATGTTTTTACAACTAAAAACAACGTAAGAAAAATTAAGTGGTTGTTTAAAAGTCCATTTCATCTCATTGAATCCAGGTTTTCCATTCTCCTTTTCAAAAATCACTGTTACCATTTTTACTGTTAGAATATAAGTGACAAAATATAGTCACTGCTGATTATGAAAGTAAGAACAGCTGTGATTGAAATAGGATCACTAGAGTTTTTCAGGGAAAGTTATACTTTTCTAAGTTCATAAGAGGCTTAAGTGGTTGTGATGTCTACATATAGGGGTGATGGTATTTTTTTAATGTAATTGTTTTTTGCTGAAAAGTTTGTAGGCCATTGTAAATTACGCAGAACTTGTGTTGCAAAAGAAATTATAACCTAGATTTTAAAAGTGCTTAATCCCCCATATTTGATTTCGTCAAGCCCTGTGTACTTGCGGTTGTATGTAATCCTATCCTCAGTTGTCGTGGCAAAACGAAACTCAACAAAAGGTAGACTCTGGAACCATGGTAACACAGAGCCACTTTAATTTGGTCACTAATATGCATTGTGATTTTTAGAACTGACTTGTCCATTTGGCAATACTGTTTAAGGATCATTTTGGTTTCAGACTTCAAAACCGTTTAACAAACTTAAGGTTTTTTATTCGCTGTAATCAAAATAATTGGTGCCGTGTTTACTTTAAAAATGAAGTATTAAAGCACTGAGATAGCATTGCTACCTGCACCTCATCTTGCTCTATTCAGAAATCATGCTTATATTTTTCTGTTTTAAAAAAAAGTTTGTAAGTTATTGTTTTTGTTGACATTGAAAGACTGTGATATTGAAAGACAGATTCTGAAATTTGCTGAGATTGTTTAGTAAAATTTTGCTGGTCAAAAAGGTGTATGTCTATGACTTTTTAAAAACACATAGTCATTTTCGAGATTTTATATAGAATGTAAAATGAAATAGCCATCATGAGGCAGAATACAGTGAAGGAGGTGGAGCTTGAATGAATAACTTACAGTGTGACACTGCAAAGTATTGTTTGAGAAAATACAAAGAAACCACGTTCCCGAAGAGAGAAGAAATGAATGTCCTCCTACCTCTCATCAGTCAGATACTGATTAACAACTTGGCCCATAAATAAACTCAAATAGATCTCTTTATTCCATAATATGTTTTTTAATTCATTTATATTCTGAAGAAACCATGTGTATGGTAAGTTTCCTCCGTAACTAATTACCATAAATAATAATATGCCTTTCTGACATCTTTATGTAGATTGGAAACAGTGCATTTGAGTCAATAGTATTTCTGGTTGTTTTACTGCTATTTCCTGTATTAATAAAATCCTAGCACTAGTATCCACCAAGTTAAGATTGAGGTTTCGAGGGACCACCAGATGGCATAATGGTTACGTTGCTGGACTCCCACATAGTTGACCGTGGTTCAAGTCCTGGACCTGGCAACTTAAAACTCAGGCCAGGCGTGTGTGCATGAGTGGCCAAAATATTGAGAGGAGAATGGAAGAGAAGGAATTGCAGCATGGCCATCCCTCTGGGAGGGGGTGACTTCTTGCATTCTATCTCTCTTTGGTAAGCTCACACACCCTATGGCAAAAATCTCTCTTAAAAAAAAAAAAAAAAAGGTTGAGGTTAAAAGATAACATATCTAGGGACCAGCAGTTAGCATAACGGCTATGTCGCTGGACTCCCATGTAGTCGACCTCAGTTTGCATCCTGGACCCAGTGGCTTAAACTCATACCAGGCGCATGTGCATGCATGCCTAAGATCCCTAGAGGAGAATGGAGGAGAAGGGATTGTGGCGTGGCCATCCCCCTGGGGGTGTGATTTGTCACTTTCTGTCTCTCTGTCTCTGTCTGTCTGTCTGGCAAGAGCACGCGTCCTATAACAAAAATATCTCTTCAAAAAAAAGAAAAAAGAAAAAATAACATATCTATTAAATTCTTATCAGTTTTTTGTCAAATAATACGTCATGTTGACCCTATAGTTCAGGGGGTAAACACTGTGGAAAGGGGTGGATCCCACATGGCCGACTGATGTTTGAATTCTGGCCCTAGCAACTTCTTAAAAAATATACTCAACATATGTGCATATCATGACAGGATGGAGAGACGTGGACAAAAAGGGACTGCTATGTGACCAGGCCCCACCAGGTGTCCCTCTCTCTCTGGTATGCACAGGTGCCTTCTGGCATTAAAAATAGTTTGTGTCCATTTTATTATTTATTTCTGAAATAGTACCTCTGGTTCAGTTATCTTCATTAATTTTATGTTGGCTTGTGTAACTTTTTTGTTAATCTGTAAACATAGTTGTTACTTAGTTGAATCTAGTTTAGTTTTTTGCCTTCATTTATTTCTGTTATTTTAGAATTTTATCTTTTTATTCTTTGCTCTCAGATTTTAGAATCTACTTTCATCTTGCATAAACATGTCTTTTGTGCTGGAACCAAGCAGTTTTGTTTTTTGGGTTTTTTTTTGTGTGTGTTTTTCTCTGTGTGTGTGTGTGTGTGTTTCGTTTCTTTTTGTTTTTGTTTTTGTTTTGAGGCTCACACTTACTTTTTTCTTTTTTAAAATTTGCCACAGGGTGTGTGCATTCACCAGAGGGAGAGAGAAGGTAGAAAGCTCCCCAGAAGGTATGGCTATGCTGCACTCCTCTTTCCTCCAACCTCCTCTCAGAATTTGGATATATGCACACACGCACCTGGCATGTTTTTGAAGCTTCCAGGTCCAGAACTCGAACCATGAAGTTGGACAGGTGGGATGCAGTTTTCTCAACCACCACATCAACCAGCCCTGAGGATCACTTCATTTCTTATTGTGATAAGCTATACTTAACATTAAATTTGCCATTTTAACCACTATTTTAATGTATATCTTCCATGAATGAGACCGACTGAAAGAGAGCAGACCAGCACCCCTGACGTCTGAACACCCTACTCCTTCCTTCAGCCAGCCCCCAATCAGAGGAATATGCAAGTACCCGCATAATCAGGGAGGGCTCTGGACTTGAACTGGGAATATTCCCACGTGGAATTGCCTTGCAGAGCACCATATTTTATCACTGAACCACCATCTGACACCCTTAGTAACTGTTTCTAAGTATATAATTTAATGGCATTAGATGTATTCACACTGTTGTGTTGGCATCACTATTATTTACAGTATTTCCAAAACATTTTCATCATAGCAAAAACTCTATACCTATTAGACCAGTGACCCCCAACCCTCCCAGCTCCGGGGACCGACCTTGTGGAAGACAATCCCACTTTGGACTAGGCAGAGGAAGCGGGGATTGGTCCCAGGATGACTCAAGCACGCCATATCCACCATGGTCCCCATTTCCACTGCTATCACACTGCCATATACAACAAAACAACCACACAGCAGAATTATGAGATTCTCATGAGACTCCAATACCACTGCTGAGCAGACAGAAGGCGGACTCAGCAGCAGCACAAGAGATGGGGAGAAGCTACAGACAGACAGAGCCTCACTGACTTGGCTCTCCGTGAGCCACCTGCCACCCCTCACCCTCCACCTTTCCTTTCTCTCCACCAAGCAGCCAGCTGGACCCCAACAGGCCAAAGACCAGTACTGTTCTGCAGCCCCAGACTGGGCACTCCTGCATTAGACAACAGCCACCCATTTCCCTGCCCCTCTCCCATTGGCAGCACGTACATTCAACTTCGTGAATCTGCTTGTTCTAGATATTTTTATATAAACGGTATCATACTTGTCCTTTTGTGTCTGGTTTTACTTAGTACTTTTTATTTTTTGTTTATTTCCTGAGAGAGAGGAGAACCCCCAATGGGGTCTCATCACACTGTGATCCCACTCGCCAGCCAGGATAGCAGTGGGGAGGGGACTCCCATGGGCATACCCAGCATGTTCAGGTCAGTGCAGGACCCAAACCCCAGGCCTTCCCTATGGCTCTCCTACTGCGCCACGGTGCTCTGACGTCTGCACCACTGTGGCTGGGCCCTGATGTGTCACTTAGCTTAATGTTCTTGAGGTTCAGCAAATGTCAGTGTACCCTTCCTCTCTAAGGCTGAATAGTAATCCTTTGTATGGATAGACCTCCATATATGTGTGTGTATTTAATGTGCAATAGTAGGTATTATTTGTAGATGTCTATATATACTGTATTAAATGTAAGTACAAAATTATAAACTAAAAAAAAAAAATTAAAAAGATAATAGATTTACCTTTAAAGAAGAACTAAGTGGAAACTCTGGAGTTGAAGGTATAATAACTATCTTCAGTATATATATACATACATACATACATATGCGTGGGGGGGTGGGGGGGTGTATTGCATATCACATTTAAGACGTAGAGTGTTTCCAGAACCTAAGAAGCCTATTTTGTACCCTCCTGAAATTACAGCCCTCACCAAAGAAAAATCACTGTCCTTTTTGAAATAACCACTCCTGCCGTAAGGGGGATTCCCAAGCACTAGAGATTGCGTTGACTACTTACCGAACAGTATATAAATGGAATTATGCATAACATACTCTTTTGTATTTGGTTTTCGTTCAGCTTTAGATTACTACTGTGTGTGTGTAGCTAATGATGTGTTTATTTGCATTTTGTCCCGTGTTCTGAATATGCCATGTCCCGTTTGAGACTATTATAAAAATGCTACCATTAGCATTCTCAGATCTGGCTCTGGATGCCTTTCACCCAGAGGGCGTGGACTGTATACCTAGGGGTGAAGGCGATGGGCTGGGACAGATTGTATCATCAAGTTGATTAGATTTCACACTTTCCTGAAGTGGTTGCTCTAGTTCCGCTACGGAGTTCTGTGATGGTCACAGCTTTGTCCAGCCTTGTGGTCTCTCAGCTAAAGCATCCTCAGTGGTTGGGCTTGCAGCCCCCTGGGTTTGCCTTTCCTCCCTAATATGGCTTATCAGTTCACCTACTTGTTCATAATCGGAAATATAGCCTCTACGGAAACATTTATTGCATAACTGTCTACGGATCCTACTAGGTGGGCACTAGGGGATAGGTGGGTACTCAATGTCTAATGTTTGGCATAAATAAATCCCCCTGCTGGAGAATAAGCTCCAAAGGAGATCTTTGCCAGCACCTGAGAATTTCTGAAACGCAGCAGGCATATGGTGACTGGTCACCGGGCTTTGTGAGTGTGAGAATCATCAACTGAAAAACATAAGCAATTTGACCATATTAACCCTACCCTGGTGAAGTGACCCATATCAATTGCAGACAGGTTCAGATTTTCTGGGGGCAATTTAAGGGATTGATTATTATAAAGATGCCACTCAATTAGGAATAGTTTTCAGTATTTTTTTGAATGCCTGTATACCTAGTAAGTGATCTTTTCGGTATGAAAGTAAGAATAGCAGGAAGTTAGAACTACCGAAGATAAATTCTGCCCTAAGACTCAAGTCACTAATCCCGGAGTTGCAGGCCAGGAGAGCCCTGAGCCTTGCTTTTCCCTACTGGCTGCCTTCTCATCGCAGGAGTCAGGCCAGTGCTCTCCTCGTAGCCGCAGTGCTCTGAGAGCCATGAGGGCACGTTGGCGAGGCTGGCCTCCTGACGTCAGAGGGGACGCCTGCTGTCTGGCCCCAGCCTGCACACTCCCCCAAGTCCCCATTTCCTTTTCATCTTCCCCAAGAGGACAGTTACACTTCTCTTCCCTACAATGCCACCAGAGTGCTGTCTCTAGATTTCTCTTTGAACTGCTTTTCCTAACTTAACCTAAGCTTCTTCTACTAAGACTTCAAGCACAGTAGACCAGCATGGGGGAATGGCTGGATGAGAAACCAAGGGGTGTTTGCTGCATAAAGGTTTTACTGGGGAGAGCAGGAGCAGACCCAGATCGGTCCCTTGTGACCTTCATGCAGACACAGACT